GTATATTTATATTCCTATTCTGGGAAGCTTCAGCTCCCCAGAACCTCACCTACTTTTTGTATCTTGTCTTTTCACTATACTGTGTATGGATAAACGTGTATAGAGGACGCGGCGTGTTACATACACATATACACACACACACCCACGCACCTACCCACGAGGTACTCACTAGTCTAAATAACAATTAGGGTCGCGATAGGGGGGAGGATTGGCGGAGTAGGGGATAGTCGGGGAAAAAAGGAGAGGGAGGAAGGGTCAGGGGGAGGGGGAGGAGGATCAGAAAACTACATCACTACTTAACGAATGAACGAGGACCAAACTTGCGAAAAAAAAAAAACATTTTTTCTTTAACCATTTTGTAGAAATTACAGTACTTACCGAAGGTAAACCAGTCAGACAAGAAGCCCACAAATACGAATTAAAAAACAACTGCTGCCCTGAACACCAAGCCAGGCTGAGGAAGGATCTTCGAGTGGCAGATCGCTAAAAATTAAAAAAAAAGCGAAAATGCAAAATTTCACCTTTAGTGTCGGTAATTTCATATTATCATCAATGTCCGGTATTGAAGCTGACAAAGAGCGCTGTACCGGGATTCCATCCTGCAAAAAAAAAAACCAAAAGTTTTCACATCCCTAGCTCACATGAACATTTTCGAGGACTTTTGGATCAAGTAAAATGAGTTTACAAAAATTTCATAAATTAGCCTCATTTTTTTTCAGCTGCAAAAAACAATCTGTTGGTAAATAATTTTGCGAAAATCATTTGTTATTGTAAAAAAAAAAGCTTACCAACATAGTGACCAGCGGGAAAACTCGGTGAACTGCGCTGTAATCCAAGTTATATGCGTTAGCAACATACAAATGCATACATCCGCATTATGTACATGAAACAAAACATAACAGAAATGCTGTAAAAAAATGAACCTCCCAGCTGCATATCATGCTAGCAGGCAAGATACAGGGGCGATAGTATTTCGAACAGCTAAAACCTTGCCTAAGTAATTCTGCGGAGAGAACAGCTGGCATCGGTAACCCCCTTACATGGCGAAACGAAACGAACACCAGCATCGCTAGTAGGCCAAGGCTGGTCAAAGCAACTGGAAAAGTTGTCAGTTGCATAGCTGGGAACAAGCCTTATGAATTGCAGCTCATCAAATTACCAAATTTTGCAAAACGGTGATATGGAAAACATAAAAATCCAGCCTCACTTCCTTGGTACTAGCCTGCAGGGATGAAGCCAGCTGTATTACAACGATGTATTGCTGAAAAACTATCATAATATTTCAGCACTTTAACGACATCTATGCTGTCCCAGCTACCATTATTTTGCTCCCTTTATTGTAATTAAGGTTGATTTTTTT